GAATGCTAAGCTACGCTCGTAGAAAGGCACTAGGCATCATTTGCAATCGGCACACATACCATGCCGAGGGATCTCAATGGCGGAACCACATTGGGAGAAAGGCACCACTGGCAGGTAGCATCGGTGGACATACTCGCCCGACATTCTAGAGGAATGGGGCGTGGTCAATATCTGAATGGCAAAACCAGGTCAGGTAAAGGCACCAGATGTTAATGTAGTCGGTCCACATACCTGCCGATATTCCAGAAGAACGGAGGAGGCAAATATCTGCAAACAACGTTTGCCACCAACTTGTGTCTATAAAGGAGAGAAAGTGCTAATGCTCAAAACACGATTCTACGCCTGCAAGTTTTGCTTCACCGCCGTCTTCAATCCTCTACCGACAAACAGTCATCGCCATGGGATACGGAAACTGGACCGAAATCAAGATCGCCAACACGAGCGATGTCCCCATTCAATTCGCAAATTCAGGACTGAGTTGGGGGAGGTTCTACTCATGTGAACCGTCCTGTACGTTGTTGATGATTTTTCATATGAACACGCTCACTGATTTATCACCAACAGCGAATAAAGATGCGGAGATTTCGCCCGACGGCTTGAACAAGACCACTATCGACGCCGGCAGAACCTACACCATTGGATCATGCGGCCGTGAAAACACCTGGTCTGGCACGGAGGGTCACTTCGACCTCGCTTCAAACCAAGGATTGACCATCGCGAAGTTCAAGTTCTATTCCCCTCACGGAACCTCCTACAACAGCTTCAATATAGACTGTCCCAACCCAGGCGTATGGTCGGCCACTGCGACTGGCGGAGACTTTGGCAACGGCGGACCTCTCGGGTCCATCACGGTGACCGTGAAGAAAGTCGGGGCTTAGTCACCAGGGCCGTTGACGGTGAAGTTGATCACACTATCGCAAACCTCTCCGCTCATCTGTATGCCCACAGGCTTTGCCGGAAACTATCATGATAGCCAATTTTCAATCCCTGCCTATGAATGTACCTTTCAAATGAATGCGATTTTCTTTTACATGCGTCACGCGGCATAGACAAGAGTGACGATGATGGTGCTCCTAGTGAGAGGGCGTCACTGTTCCACTTAGGTTGTCAAGCTTTTGAAATCTTCCCGAGTCCCGACATCATAGCGCATTTTGAATTTTAGTCACGAGGACTTAGGACAGTCGATTGGGCCGGTAGCCACAACAATACTTTCTCTCATTGTTTAATGTATGGGCAACGAAAGAGCATGCTGAAAGAATTATAATGCTATCTGATCGTACTTTGAAAAACACAGGCAAAACAAAACTCCCAGTCCAGATGGCAATTTCCTGCCTTGTAATAATGTAGGCAATTTGACGTCCGCTAGTACTTGTATGCGCATAGCGCTTCACGCCGAGCTCTGCATTTACTTAAAAGACATAGATTACACAACACACGCTTTCTTACATGAGCATTACACTAGCCAAAGGAGCAGATATGTACAATTCATTATAAGAATGATCTCGTCCGCCATTCCGTAGGCCAAGATCGCCACTTGCGGCTCTGCTACAGCCTAACGCTGCCGCATTCATCGATGCCGCATCAAGATGTCGGAACACTCGTTTCCACACTCAGCCTCTCACAGAAATCGCCTTCGAGAGTCTCGTGGTAGCGTCGCCATCTGTAATTGCAGACCAAAGGTCACTCAGAAAGGGCGGACAGCAGGTGATTGAGTGAATCCGCCTCCCGTGCCGGAGGCGGCAAACAGGCCGAAAGGCGCGTTAGTTGACGCAGTGGGAGAGATACCGGGGGTGGCAACAACTGCTGGCAGTGGCCCTAGAAGCTCAGTAGAATCAAGCTCTCGCCCATTTGTGAGGAACGCTACGCGAAGCTCCTGGAGACATGGCAGCAATGAGAATTGTATGCGCCGTGATTATATCGGCACGCACCTCAAAGCTGTGTCTGTTGTGCCGTCTTGAAGCGGATATACTATGATAGTACAGGTTCCCAGAGGCGGGGCCATCGACGGGTTCGTCATAAAATGCGTTTGTTTTGTTGTCCTTGGCAAAGAAGGGATGCATGTCGGGGGTTACGAGCACCTCGGCCGAGCGTGAAGTGGCAGGTGAGAGTCTTATAGGAGGAAGGTCAAGTGGGAGTGGAGTGGGCGGCATGATGACGCCTGCAGCATACGCATAGCACCGCAGTTCCTGGAGGCGAGCAAGGTGAACAAACGCGGCAGATCGGAGCCCAAGCAACTCTCACCTCATGTGAAAAGAACGAGTACTCTGGGACTGCCGCGATGCTCTGATACGTATCTCCCTCGCTCTGAACTGGCTGAAACGCGTGTATCCGCGGGAGCTTCGCAGGATCTGTGGTCGGGGCTGTTGAGGCGACGACACTAGATGTGCTCGACTCGCCAACGGCGGGCTCGGTGTAGGGCTCGAAGAGGGGCGGCAGTCCCAGCGCAGCGCGCGCTTGAGCGCCTGCTGGCTCCTGGACCACTGGTAATGGTGGGCCTCCCGTCGTTGTATAGGCTTTCAAGTAGTCTTCCATGCGTATTTCCTGCCAACGATCGTCGGCTCGATGAATCGGCACCGACTGAGAGGCAACTTTACCTCTTGTGATTTTGCTTGGTTCTCGGGGTATGCGCAGATGTTCACGAAGGCATCCCGGCGTCGTGGGTCGGCTGCCATTTTGAGGGAAGGCGATCGAGGTGAAGACGAATGGCAGGAATTGATGAGTATGAGCACGTGGGTTTGTAGCAGAAAGCGAAGCACAGGGGCAAACACAGGGGTCATACAAGTGGCTACAACTACATACGCAACAAATTCAAATCTCTATCTATGACTTGAAGAATCTAATCTTTGACTGCAAACCGAGAAGACTGCCGCAATTTGGGGCCAATCCGATACAAGACAAAGCTGTAATCATATCAGCACTCAGCGAACGACAAATACGGTGGGCACTCACGGCAAGGGCGCCATGAGAGCTGTAATTCCAGCCAATAGCCCAGTAGCAGCTACAGTACCCAGCTTGTTATACATAGCACCTGCAAAGAGCGGGAATGCAGCCGCGAATGTGAACCGTAGCGCGCTGTTGCTTGACATGGCAGAGGCGGCGATGGGCCGATATGCAGTCACCTGGTACGTGAATGTTGAGGTGAAGACAAACAAGATGCCGCTGCCAAATGGCACTGAAGCAATGATAGGAACAATCCATGGGACCTGCGCGTACGTGGTGAAGGCAAGCCAGATGAGGCCTGAGTTGAATGAACATCGGGTGGCGCTACAACATCGAGGAAGCACTCACCGATTGGCACGAGGACACCACCCACTTGGCCCATGAAGAGTCGGATTTCAGGCGGAGGATTTCCCTTATACTTTATTTCCTCGCGTGCGAAAAGTCTGCCTGGCATGAATAGTGTGATTAACGTGAAGTGCCCAATACTTACATATTCCAGAATGGCTCGGTACAAACGGCGATTACCATTCCCAGGCCAATGCCGAGAAATGACATGCCCGTCTCGCCGGTGGAGAACCCGTGTTTCTTCTCAAATATGAGGGGGAATGCTTGAAACGTGAGATAAAGAATACCGAGTAGCAATGCGTCCCATAGGTTGAGCAGGAGGACCATGCGGTCAAAGAGCATGAGTTCTACGGCTTGTCAGAGTAGGCGTGCGCGCGAAGGGGGCTATCAGCTCACGGAAAGGCGTATAGCAACCGACTGCTATTGAGCGTAGTAGTGTCATGTTCCGCAGGTCCAGTGGGGCATAGTAGCGTGCGTTTCCAGTTGATTCGCGTAGGCTGTCCAAATGTCAGTTTCATGCATTCTATGCACATTCAATCCCAAGCGCACCGCCGCGCTTTCCACTTGAGAAGGACTGGAACGTAAGTCTCTGGAATCAACTTATCGAATATGTTAGCGAGGATTTATACGAAGATGTAAGGGAACATACAAAGATAATTCCGATGAGCTCAAAGAAGGTCCAAATAATCTGCAGTCGGAAGGTCCATCTCCAATTTGAAGGGTGCTGCCATATTACTAGTTAGCGATACTATAGAAGGCTGTTCTAGTAGTAGTTGCTATGTACTTGATTTATGAACCTGCAGAGCGTCAGCGCGAGTCATTTGAAATGAAAACGCTACACATACCCGCCGAGAAGGGGTCCAACGATGGGCCCAATAAATGGGCACAGCGTGTAGATTGCCATCGGGCTGGAAATATATTAGGTATGATCCATGAAAGAGAGCCGAATTCTCACTTGGCAACAGCGGCATTCGAGAACATGTCGCTCACACTGCCACCTGCAACCGACAAGAACGCCGCGCCACATAAGCCGGTCACGAATCGAAACAACAGGTACACCTCTACATCCATCAGCAACAACCTGAGGGCTGCGGAAGCGACTCACCGATGTTTGGCGCGAACGCCAAGGGGAACGAGAAAAGAAAGAAGAACAAGTATGAACACCGATAAACGATGCTCCGCCCATACAGCTCGCTCAGGGGCCCAACCAGCAGAGGCCCCAGGCCAAGGCCCATCACGAACAAGCTAATCCCCAGTATACTCACCTCCTTTGAGACGTGAAACTCTGCCGCGACTCCCGCCTCTGCCGATGAAGCCTGCAAGACGTGAGCTCAATTCATATGGATTGGAGGAGGACTTACAATGGACGAAAAGCAGGTCACGCACATCGATGCTGAGCTGATCACGAGGATAGCGGACCATTTCTTGAGAAGGGAGAGACGTTGCGGGTCTTCGGTTGGGTCAAGAGTCACCAGGAACTCATCCGCAACAATCTCAGAGGCTGGGGTGACCGTGAGGCTCCCAGCCAGCGTTTCCGTGATCGATGCAGCATCCATGGTACACAAAATTGCAGTAAGTAAGCGGCCCGGCACATTTCTTAGCGATATCCTGCCAGGCACCTCGTGCGACGTGCGTGTAGCAGAAACCCCGTTTGGCGTGCGGTTGTATTCGTCATAGATAAGACCGTCCATAACAGGGTCAAAAACAAAAGTAATTGCCCGTTGGCTGGTTTGAACAACCGACCTCACCATAACCATGTTGCACTGGATGTGCTGGGATACGAGTGGCGCGCTCTACCACTGAGCTAAACGGGCTTGGATGAAAGGTGCCAGGTGTTCTTTATGATCTTTTGTGTCAGTTCTGGCGAATAGTTGAGCTCATCGGGAGAACAAAAATAAGACCACCGCACATATGTGGGCTCACTCACTTTGTGTGACAACTCAAGCGAAGAGCTTACCAATGTAGCACTTTATGTGTATCTCACTGACACACTGTAATAGTGTGAAGCTGTAGTGTGCAAGAGGGTCATTTAAATTTGCAACTCGGAGATCCAACTGATACCGACTGTGCGCCACAAAGAACTCGGAAAACGTGCTAGTTCTTTCACGGTTGCAGCCTTCTGCTTCCGTCTGCCATCCTCACTCGTCGACATTGCTTCTTCCTCGTGTATTGATCCTGCTATCATCATTTTTTAAACCCGAAGCTCGCGAGCCTCAATTACTTTACGGTGCTGATTGAGGCCGATTGCTTGTAGTTGATTGCTTCTGCGCGCTTCTCTTTTGCTTCAAGTTTCTCGTACATTCAAACACCAGGGTTTTCAGCTTCGAACAGCTTCAGGCATCTTGCAACCAACAGCATTCTTCAGTGCCTTAAATGCAAGGTGTTCTTTGGCCGTCTGTGCGTGATCTACGATTTTCAAGACTTTTTTTCAGACAGCTGGGCGAGCTCCTGTCACCCTGGGGGCCTCAGAGCTTAGGATCGGCTTTCAAATCACATTCCATGAACGACATTTGCCATATCTCGTGATCCAGTCTACTGGAGTCTTCTATAGGCGCTTGGCATATATATATTGACATTACTTTTCTATAGCACTATGGTGCCAGAAACCCGCTCGGTGAATACACATATTCTCTTGAAATAGTAGCTCTTTGAATTTACATCTGACAGTTTTAGTCCAATTGCCGTTGCACTGTGCAGATCATGATCAGAGGTCAAGTAGAAGGATTGGGCAAGCTATGCGAAAGAAGGCATCGCGATGCCATTGGCCATTTTAGTAAGTTTGTTGCCTTCTGAACTGTTCACAGACTCGTTCACATTTGAAACCTATTGGAAAAAACCATTAGCTCGGACATAAGATCCAGTCAATCGACTCCTCTCATTGCCTGGCTGTAGACCTGTCAACAGTTTGCTGCGCTTGGCTGCATCGAACTTGTCTGGTCTAAGTTTTTTGCGAATGACGATCTGCACAGGAAATTTGGTTGCAACGCTTCTTATATGCCTGCCTTCTATTTAACATTACAAGGCTGGCACTTGAAGGTAAATTAAGACACGCGAATACTTCAAAGTAGTGCAGTCGAATAACTTCTCTGCAATTTTGACGATCGTCTACATACCCCCCTCGACTTTTATGGCACTGAGGCGCCCTGCGCCTGTCCGTGCAACCATTTCCCAGCATGGCTGCTATCACACATCTAAAATTTCTCCAGGACTATGGCTTGGATGAGCCACGAAAACTGCACTGCGGTACGCGCCGCCGGGAACGTACTTATGTGGAAAGCCAACAATCAATATCGGTCTGTCCGTTTATGCAATCCGCTCCCGCGACGCTAACACAGCCCTTTAGGACTGTCCGGACTCAGAGCCTGAGCATGAAGGTGAACAACGCAAAGCCGCCAAGACGGCACCAACCAGCGATTTATTTAAAGAAAGGAGGGAGGAGCCCGAGGCAGTGATACTGGAGGTGGTAGGGGGAACTGATAGCGATGGTGGAACCACACAGGTCGATGAGGGAGACATTGGACCAGGGGACAGCAGCGGAAATGCAAATGCCAAAGTGGTTAGATGGGCAACAGATGTGCGGAGGGACAACGATGCTGAGGATAGTCTTGACGATGGTGACCAGGATGATGTGTATCTCCCACTGGGAAAAAGGGCCGCCAAACTTCGTGGACTCACAGACGGACGGGGTGACCTGGTAGTTGGATCAGGAGTGGCCTGAAAATGTAGCTGTCTGTCTGAGTTCCTTGTTCCACTGCCGGTGCAGAGTATGTGCGAAGGTACTGGTATTATTAGCCTATGCAGGCCGGAAGGGGCTCACGGGAAGCTGGGTATCTGTATAAGATATAAAAGTACGTACCAGTGTTGCAATACATCACATATAGGTGATTTCTCGCTACCTTCAAGTTTGAGTCCAGTAGAACCAGTATTGCCTGGCGGACGCTGAGCGCAGAACTGCGATTGTCGAACAACTTCCCCGCGGCTGAGTGTCAATAACACAGCACAGCTACCGACCCAAGTGAACAGTATCTTTCGCATGCATGCATGCATATAAAGCGGTTAAACATAGGAGCCTGGTTGGGTAGAGTATGCAACGCATGCGCAATCGTTTAATGAGATGAGCCTGCAAGCGAAATGGAGGACAAAGCGAATAGTTCCAAAGGCAAAGGTGCATGATAAAGTTACGCGTAACATGTACGAGACGGAATGAGAGAGTAGAGGTGTGATGTATAGGAGGCTAAAATAAGACATAGCGAGCATCGAGTATTGAACAATTCTCGAAAAGATAAAATGATGGGGTATAGGAGTTTGATACATAAAATGCAAGCAGTGGATGGGAGAGGAATTGGGGTCGTGATGGTGGCGGTTGGAATGCAGTGCCAGTATAGAAACTGTAGTATCGGAGATAGGAGCGCAATATGTCGGAGGTCATAAGACATGGAAGTTATGGTACATATGAAGCAGCAGATGAGCTTGATCATCGGATGAGCCTGCCGTAGTCAAGGCGGCTGTCTCGTTTGGACTCCGTACTCTCGCGCTTCGGGAAGGCGTTCCAGAACCTTAGGGTCTCGTCGCCTGCGCCAGTGACGATGGTCTCGCCGTCAGGGCTCATTGCTAGATATAACACACGATGCGTATGACCAGTTAGAGACGCAACCATGTTCAGCGTTGGATATTTCCATATGCATATTTGGTTCTGTGCAGTGGTGGAGGAGAAACCATGCGTCGAGACCAGCTCGTGGGAAGTCAGAGACCATATCAAGTTGCATACCTACAAACATGTCAGCATACAGAGCATAAAAGAAAACATATGAGCATTACCTGACTACCCGTATCCAGCTCGTTAAGCATGGTGCCATTCAAGGTGTTCCAAAACCGGATATGTTTATCCTGCGTTCCACCGCCTGTAGCTAGCACCCCCGACACATGCGGGTCCCACGCGAGCGCCTTCACAGCTGCCGTGTGTTCATGGAATTTCCAAAGCGGCGCATCGCCCGCATCCTCTCCTGCACTTCCACTCGCATTTCCTCCCAGCTGGCGTGTAGGTGCTCCTGCAGCAGCCGCTCTTCTGGAGCCCCGCAGGTCCCAAATGCAGACCTTGTTGTCATTCCCACCGCTCGCGAGCGTGGCAGATTGTGGTCCTGCTTCGCTGCTCCATTTCAGGCCACAGACCTCCTGTTTGTGGCCCGTACATCGCTTGAATGGCCGGAGGGATTGTTCGCGCACATCACGATGGTGCACCGTGCGATCGCGAGAACCTGAGCTCAGCACGTGCGAGCTCCATGCTAGTGCACCTATTCGTTGACTATGGGCATTCGGGTAGGTGCGCAGCAGAGCTAGAGTCGTGGCATCGTATATATGTAATCGTCCGGAAGTCGTGCCAACTGCAAGGGTCGTGCCCTTCTGCACCCATGAGACGGAGCTGACATGGTCCTGCCCCGAGCCGGGCCCTGCATTGAGGTCACAAAGCTTGTTGACCGAGGCATTATGAGCTGTCCATAAATACACACAAGAGCCCAGTCCCACGCCTAGTACGTTGGTACTCGACCAATCCACAAGGTTGAGGTAGAAGTCATCGGCAAGGTCCGGAGCGTCGAGCACGCGGTAGGGTGTCTTGCATACACTGCGCAGTTGCCGTCGTGGACTTTCCAGCAGCTGCCGGCTCTCAGCTCTGACGGGGCTCATTGAGTAAGCCTCATCTGTTGGTGTGTCTAACCGTCGAGTCGGTGTAGCAGGATTGGACGCAGAGGGAGAGTTGTAGGCGAATATGCGACGGCGTGTGGGTGTTGATGGTGGGGCTGTGGAGGATGACGATGCGCTAGGTCGAGTGGGGGAGGCAGGTCGGCGAGGTGAAGGAGGTGTTACCTCCGTGTGTAATACAGATGTGAATATAGCATTGGCTTGCTCTGATATGGCGTCAGGCTCGATCGTGCATGACAGGAGCGGGCTACGCACCTTTGAGAGCATCTGACTCTGAGGGAATAATCCTATTTTTGGAAGGCGTAGATGGCCCTCCATCGTCCATGAGATGGTAAGACGTTCGCATGTCACCAGCGTCTCTAGATGGGACGAATCTATCCCCATAGTCTTTCGTCACACGATCAATCGGTGACTCTGGTCCAGCGGTGCTGTCGCTCGTGGTTGGCCGCGATGAATCCAAGGATGGCGTTGAGCCTGACGTCGTGGAGAAGATTGGGTTCACTCTTGGCCTAGTCCGCTTAGGTGATGTGATTTGCGCTGCTGCTTCGTCTTCGTTAGCATCTTTATGTGATGCCCTGAGGCGCTTGCCGAAAGGCGAGTTCTTGAGGCCAGACATTGGGCGTGGCGGCTCGCAGCGAAGTGTTGTGTTCTTGATGTTGACTGTAGGAATAGACAGAATGTAAAGAGAGAAGAGTGTTGGTTGGCAGTTCAAATGGATAGTAGAAGTAGATCAGTTGTAACCTAGCATAATTGGCTGGAACGGAACCCAGGCACGGGCAAAGACGAGGAGGAGAGGAGACTGTTGAGAACAAGCGCGTCGCGTATGAGCACAGCCCGCTCAAAATTGCCGAAACAGTGCGTGACTCAGCGCCATTCCATTTTCTTCCTTCGACTCGTCAGATCATGTCATGATCAGGCCCCAACAAGACTTTCAGCGTTTCTCACATTCTAAATCCCTTGTTAGTCGAACGGTTTGTCCAGGATGCTTGTATTGTGAGCTCGTCACTGATGTTCCAACCCTAACAAATAAACCATCCGACTGTCACATATATTTACCTTGTGGTTTGAGCATCCTATCCACGAGAACAATGTTGTATCCTGTACAGTATACGTCCGT